GAGGGCGCGAGGGGAACACACTCGGCTTGTGCCTTCCTCTTGCCCCCGGGTGCCGAGGGGAGGGCGGAGGAGGACGCGCCTCTGAACTTTCTCCTCCCCCCCCGAGAGTCCGAGGAAGAAGAGCAGCAGCGACTGGGTTGAGTGGAGCCTTTTGCCCCCTAGCGCCCGGCACGCGCTCTCCCCAGCACCCTGCCACCCCGACTCCTGGATCTCCCCCTTCCCCGGCTCGGGGCCCCCTATGCACTAAATGCAGCCGCCCTCTATCCCTGGGGGACCTATATGTGCCCCTGGTCCCAGCTTGTTTGTAGACCCCACGCTGGGCCCTTGTGTTCAGTGCTGGCACACGGGGACCCACGTCTCCGTCTCCGTCTCCATCTCCGTCCCCAGCGCCTCTTCTCTGGGCCCCCTTGAGTTTCCCTGGAGGGTCTCCGTGCCAAACACTCGGCAGAGGCGTCCCCACCTTGCTTCCGAGGGCTGACAAGCTCACAACCTACAGGCCTCTGCCTGTCACCGTCACCCAACACCCCCCTCACGTGGCAGCTCGGGGGTACTGACGTCTTTGCACCGGGTGAAAACCCCAGCGACTGTCATGTCGAAAACGTTCCGTGCCAGTCGCCGGGCACAGGTCTGATTTAGCGGGGTGGGGGAAAGGGGGCGACTGTTGTGGCCGATGCCAGCGTTGTTCGGGAGGGGGACTTCGGTGGTAGCTCCGCTTGTACCCGGCACTTAGCAACTGCAACCGTCTACCAACCAGATCCTTCTTTTTGGGTGGTATCAGGAGCGAGGGAGCTCTGGGGTATCGGTGGAGACCTCCCGTTGCCCTTGGATTTCGAACGTGCTGCTACCCACGATTGTGAGGCCGGAGGGGACTCTGAGCTTTACCCGGCTCAAGGGACTTCGGTGGTAGCTCCGCTTGTACCCGGCACTTAGCAACTGCAACCGTCTACCAACCAGATCCTTCTTTTTGGGTGGTATCAGGAGCGAGGGAGCTCTGGGGTATCGGTGGAGACCTCCCGTTGCCCTTGGATTTCGAACGTGCTGCTACCCACGATTGTGAGGCCGGAGGGGACTCTGAGCTTTACCCGGCTCAAGCTTCCTCGAAGACACCTTCGGAAAAAGCCCCACCAGGCCAAACTAGAAATGCCTCGTCGCCCGTCTGGCAGCTCGGGGTGCCAGATGGTTGAACGAAAAATACCGACCCCCCCTCCTCCAAAAAAAAAACCACCGGGAAAAAAAGTGGGGTGAGACCAAAGTTGTTGAACAAAAAAAAAAAAAGAACGAAAAAGGAACAGGGGAGAAGTTGAGCACTAAGACCCAGGGGAATTTTAGGTGTCTGGTATTCTCTAAATTTTTTTACCCAGACAGGAGCCGAAAATACCGGCCTGTCCGGGTGAATACCGGACGCCTGGCAACCCTACTGGCAGCCATCGCCATGGTGACAGTCGGGCGCAGAAACTGTCACGGGGAGGGTTACGCCAGCCCACTCCGGTGCCGAGCGTCACCGTGGAAACCGTCCCAAAGCCGGGACGAGGCAGGACGCCCCTCCGGCTCTCCCTGTGGCGAAAGACGGTATTTCGAAAGGGAACGCGCCCTCTGGACGCGGGTCCTTTCGAAAGGAAACACCCCTTTTTCGAACGCTTCCGTACTCCTGAGAAAATGAGGCTCGGTGATCGGGTGCGACTTTGCAAATGAAGTGTGGGATATTTAAATCTGCGCTTCATTTGCGCGTTCGATCGGCCTCGTTTCGTGATCGGGGCTTTTTTGTGGAAAACAGTCCTGTGCTGTCTACACTGGCCCTTTTCCAGAACAGTTTTCCGGAAAAAGGACTTTTGCGCAGCATAGTATTTCCGGAAAAGTGGCTGATTTCTTACAGTAGATCGTCAGTGCTTTTCTGGAAATTCAAGGGCCCAGTGTAGACAGCTGGCAAGTTATTCCGGAAAAGCGGCTGATTTCTTACAGTAGATCGTCAGTGCTTTTCCGGAAATTCAAGGGCCCAGTGTAGACAGCTGGCAAGTTATTCCGGAAAAGTGCAGGAAGGGTCCGCATATTTTCTCAGCCAAACTACATGTGTTTGTATACAATTGTATGCCTGGTCTCAGAGGATATGAAATAGTTAATTCAAAATAAGTTATTTCGAAATAACGCATCTACACACAAAATGCATTTCAAAACGGCGTTTTGCTATTTCGAAATAGCGTATCCACACTGAAATGGACGCTGAATGACATTTAAGGCCAGACGGAACTGGTTCCGGCAAGGCATCAGGTCAGAAGTTATCTTGTGGCCCGGGTGGCCACCAGGGCATTTTGCTAATTTGAAATACTTCATCCACACTGGCTGGACACAGAATCGGATTTAAGGCCAGCCAGAAGCAGGTCAGAAGTGTATGCATGTGGCTGTTGCCTGAGGCTATCTGACGCCTGTGCTTAACGGGACACTCCCCACCACCCCTCTTCTCCCGGACAGACAGTTCTCAGCTTTCTCTGCTTGCTTACCTACCTCAATGAGGGACAGCAAAGGATTTTGTCTCTGCGTGCTCTGGTTGCCCTCACTGGGGACACCACAGCACAGCAACATGAAGCCAGAGCTGGTGCTTCTCGTGGACACGTTGCTGCGAGCCTGGCTGCACTTTCTGCAGGCTGACATTTGGGGGGGTCCATTGGGGGGCTGTCAGTATCCAGGAGGCCCTGCGGGAGAGCTTCCACCCTGAGGAGCACTAAGGTCTGCCCCACTGGGGGCTTGTGCCTCATTCCTCCCTCACGTCCTTCCACTTACCCTCCCAACCCCCCTTCCTGATGTCAAATAAAATACACATATTTTCATGAACACAAACTCTCTTTATTTAACAAAACTGGGAGGTGGGGAATGAAACTCTGGGGAGACTGGGAAAAGGAGGCAGGAGAGGGGAAGAGAGAGGGTGGGAAAGGGGAGGGGGAAACCTGGGAGGAGGGAGGTGGAAGGGGGAAAAAGGGGGAGGGGAAGCTCAGGGTTGGGGGTCTCGCCGGACCAACTTGATTTTCATGCAAACCTGCTCCTGGGTTCACATGTGGCCTTTGGTGGCCAGGCTGGCAGCTATCCTGACATAGACGGCCGTATGCCTCCCTCTAGGGCTGAGATCATGGATGTTGGGGGCACCCCCCCCAAACCTGAATAAGGTCCATGATCTCCCCCCTGGACCAAGAAGGCGCTTGCCTTCTCTGGCCCTTGGCAGGCTCCTGGGAGCTGGGGGACTGGTCCTGGGGAGCAGTGGAGGGCTGGCTGGGGCTGGGCGGCGCATCTCCACCCTGGACCAGGAAGGTGCCCGCCTTCTCCAGGCCCTGGCAGGCTCCTGCGAGCTGGCAGACTGCTCCTGGGGAGCGGTGGAGGGCTGGCCGCCAGTGGCTTGCTGGCTCCTGTTTTGGGGCCACTGAGTCAGGGGCCCCGGTGGCCACTGCTGGCTCTGGGCTGGCAGGCTTGGAGCTGGCCCAGGCCCTGTGGCCAGAGTCAACCCCTTTAAGGGCTCCGGGAAGGAGGGAGGGAGAGGTGTGTTCTTGGTTGAGGCTGGTTGAAGGCACCCTGGGAAGGCTGGAAGCCCTCGATTTCGAATTAAGCGTCTACACCGCACTTCCTTCGAATTCGCTATTTCGAATTTGGCGTTACTCCGCGTGGCATGAGTTTAACCCAATTCGAAAGAAGCGCGCCGCTAATTCGGTTTTATTTCGAAATAACGCTTTGGCTGTGTAGACGCCAGGAAAGTGATTTCCTTTCCTTTTTTCCTTTTTCCCCCTCTTTTTTCTTGTTTCCCTCTCTTTTATCTCTTTTTTCTTTTCTCTCTCTCTTTTCTCTTTCTCTCTCTTTTTCCTTTTTTCCTTTTCCCCCCCTCTCTTTTTTCTTGTTTCCCTCTCTTTTATCTCTTTTTTCTTTTCTCTCTCTCTTTTCTCTTTCTCTCTCTTTTTCCTTTTTTCCTTTTCCCCCCCTCTCTTTTTTCTTGTTTCCCTCTCTTTTATCTCTTTTTTCTTTTCTCTCTCTCTTTTCTCTTTCTCTCTCTTTTTTTCTTTTCCCCATTTTTTGCTCAACCCTAATCAGGAGGTGCTCAGCTAAATTGTTTGTTTGTGGATGTGTTTGTGCAAAATAAAGTCAGACTTCACTATCACCAAGCTGGTGCCCGGGGACCTGCCTTGTCGTGGGTGACACCATCAACCCCTTTTATCCTTGGGTTCCGGATCCCTCAGACTCTCCCCATATCAGCAGGGCCAAAGGGAACCAGCCGACGCCTGGGGCTGTCGCTAGGCAGGCGAAGATGCTGTTGTTGCTAGGGGGCACGCATGGGTACCAGAGGCTCCTAGGCTGATCTCAGGCACCATAGATACTGGCAGCAGGGCAGGGCTGATCCAGAACCGGCATCCAAGCAGGAGGCGGGTTGACTCCACGTGTCCAGGCCCGGCAGCAGTCGCTCTGTCACCGGGCCCAGTCCTGGGCTCCTTCTCCGCTCAGAGTCTGAGGTGAACCAGCCGCCCGGGGACAGCTCCGGCCTTGTGACCGGCTCCGGATACACCTCCATGTCTCTCAGAGGAAAGCGGCTCGCTCTGGCCTGCTCCGGTTCTCCTCCCCGCGTCCTTTCCCCGCCGCGTTGCCGAAAATCGAGGGGCTGCCGCCTCCCGGCTCCTGCAAGCGAGGGGGGTTCCTTGCCCCCGCTTTCCCTGTGGGGACACCGACGGCCGGATTAACCCCCCTCCTCGCTCTCCTCCGCAGGCACCGGCAGAGGGGAGGGCAGGCCGGACGCGGAGGGTGGATCCCACAGCAAAGAACGGAGCCCGAAATACAGCCGGGCCTGCGTTCTTCCCTGCAGTGCTTCGAGCCTCCCCCAGAGCCGGCCGTGTGGCTGCACGGTACACAGGGCAGGGTGACGGAGACGTCCCCGAGCCCCCGGGCTCATTTGCATAGCCCCGTTTGCTCTGTCGGGCCTGCCAGGGCTGACGAGCTGCTGCCGGTTCGCACCACACCAGGGTGCACCGCAGCGGCCGATGGCTGTCCCTCCGGCGCCCAGGCCTCAGCGATGGGGCCGTGGCTCCTGGTTCTACTCCTCTCCACGGCGTTGGTGCCAGGTACGTTCCCGGAGCGGAGCTGCCCAGGGAGGGGGAGCTGCCGAGGAAGAGGCTGGGGGAGGCAGGTGCGGCCACACAGGAAGGCCCAAACCGGGGAAGTGATGCCGGAGGGGGGTCACGTCCCAGCGGAGCGACCCCCGGTGGGATCGGGACAATCCGTCCATAACGGCCCCCTTGTTTCGGTCAGCCTGCAGGGTTCAGCCAGTGTTGATTCAGCCGGCCTCCATATTAGTGTTGCTGGGACAAACGGTGAACCTCTCGTGCGCCCTGAACCCGGGGTACAACATCAGCGACTACGGGGTCTCCTGGTACCAGCAGCGAGCCGGCCGCCCTCCGAAGTTCTTACTCTACTACAACTCGGAGACGGACCAGCACAAACCCGCCGGCACCCCCGCCCGGTTCTCCGCCACCAAAGAACCCGCCCTCAACGCCTGCGTCCTGACCATCGCTGCGTTCGAAGCCGAAGACGCCGCCGACTATTACTGTTCCATCATGCTGTGACACGGCGTTCACCGTTCTCGAACAGGCTGAGGAGGAGGAAGCTGCATCCCTGGAAACAAATGCGCAAAATAACTTTTGAACGGGAAACCTGCGGAACTCCTTGCTGCAGGATGTTGTGAAGAGCAGGGCTCAGAAAAGAACTAGATGAATTCATGGAGGTTACTAGCCAGGATGGGCAGGAATGGTGTCCCTACTATCCTCTGTTTGTCAGAGGCTGGAAATGGGCGACAGGGGATGGATCAGTCTATTCCATGTTCTGTTTACCCCCCTCTGGGGCATTTGACTTTGGCTGCTGTGGGCAGACAGGACACTGGGCTAGATGGGCCTTTGGTCTGACCCAGTGTGTCTGTTCATATGTTCTGTTCCCGTGGTTCCCAACCTGTGCTCCACAGACCCCTGGTGGTCCGCGACGGTACTGCAGGGGGTACGTGGAAAGTTTAAAAATAAGGATCCTTTCTTTTCCCCTTTTTTTCTCTATTTTTTCTCTCTTTCTTTCTTTTCTCTCTATCTCTTTTTTTCTTGTTTCCCCTCTTCTGTCGCTCTTTTTTCTTTTCCCGCTCTCTCTTTTTTCCCTTTTCTCTTTCTCTCTCTTTCTTTCTGTCTCTCTCTTCTCTCTCTCTTTTTTCCTGTTTCCCTTTCTTTTATTCTCTCTCTTTTTTCTCTCTTTTCCCTTTTCTCTTTTTTCTCTCTCTGTTTTTTCTATTTTCTTTTTTCTTTCTCTCTTTTCTCTCCCTCTTTTTCTCTTTTCTCTCCCTCTTTTTGTCTCTTTTATCTTGTTTCCCTCTCTCTTTCCTTTTTCTCTTTTTTTCTCTTCCCTCTGTCTTTTTTCTTTTCACTCTCTCTTTTCTCTCTTTTTTCTTTTTCTTTTTCCCTCTCTTTTTTCTTTCTCTCTTTTTCGCTTCCTCTCTCTTTTTTCTCTCTCTTTTTCGCTTCCTCTCGCTTTTCTCTCTCTCTTTTTTTTCTTTTTCCCCCTTTCTTTTTTTTCTCCCGCAGGGAAGGTCCATGAAATTGTAATCAATTGAGAAAGGGGTCTGTGTGCTCAAAAAAGTTGGGCACCACTGGTCTATTCTATTTGCAGGCATGTCCCATTTCTCTGTCTCTTTTTTCTTTCTCTCTTTTTTCTCTCTCTTTTTCACTTTCTCTCTCTTTTTTTAATTTTTCCTCCTCTCTTTTTTGCTTTCTCTCTCTTTTCTCCCTCTTTTTCTCTCCCTCTTTTTGTCTCTTTTACCTTGTTTCCCTCTCTCTTTTCTCTTTTCTCTCTTTTTTTCTTTTCCCTGTGTCTTTTTTCTTTTCACTCTCTCTTTTCTCTCTTTTTTCTTTTTCTTTTTCCCTCTCTTTTTCTCTCTCTTTTTTCTTACTTTATTTTCTCTCTCTCTTTTTCGCTTCCTCTCTTTTTTCTCTCTCTTTTTTCTTTCTTTCTTTTCTCTCTCTCTTTTTCGCTTCCTCTCTTTTTTCTCTCTCTTTTTTGCTTCCTCTCTTTTTTTCTCTTTTTTCTTTCTTTCTTTCTTTTCTCTCTCTCTTTTTCGCTTCCTCTTTTTTTCTCTCTCTTTTTTGCTTTCTCTCTCTTTTCTCTCTCTCTCTGTTTTCTTTTTCCCTCTCTCTTTTTTTTCCTCCCGCAGGGAAGGTCCATGAAATTCTAATCGATTGAAAAAAGGGTCCGTATGCTCAAAAAGGTTGGGAACCACCAGTCTATTCTATTTGCAGGCATGTCCCATTTCTGTCTTAAATTAAGAAAACTGAGTGTAGTGTTATTGTCAGTAGCTACGTCTACACTGGCGTGATTTTCCGGAAATGCTTTTAACGGAAAAGTTTTCCGTTAAAAGCATTTTCGGAAAAGCACGTCTAGATTGGCAGGATGCTTTTCCACAAAAGCACTTTTTCCGGAAAAGCGTCCGTGGCCAATCTAGACGCGGTTTTCCGCAAAAAAGCCCCGATCGCCATTTTCGCCATCGGGGCTTTTTTGCGGAAAACAAATCTGAGCTGTCTACACTGGCCCTTTTGCGCAAAAGTCTTTCGGAAAAAGACTTTTGCCCGAACGGGAGCAGCGTAGTATTTCCGGAAAAGCACTGATGATTTTACAGGAGATCGTCAGTGCTTTTCCGGAAATTCAAGCGGCCAGTGTAGACAGCTGGCAAGTTTTTCCGCAAAATCAGATGATTTTGCAGAAAAACTTGCCAGTCTAGACACAGCCTGTGTGTTTATGTTGAGAAAAGCCTATTGTTAACCCATCAGAGACAACCAAGAAGTGAGATACAGAGCTAATTACTCATTAGCAAGAGACAATTGAGGGGGGATGAACTGTCTTCTTGCAGAACTTTTACTCCGCTACTGAGGTCTGGATGTTGCAAAAACGTGCGACCATGTCACCTGATACTGGACTCCATCTTGAATTTTGTACTTTTCCACAGAGGTGAATGGGGACATTGACCAAAAACTTCCTGCTTTGGGGAAATTCGATATAAGACAAGCGAAGTGAACAGGGATTCTTCTCAGCTGGTTTTACAGACTGCCTCCCCACCCCAAGAGGATATATGAAAATGCCTGGAAGCGGAAAGCCTGTAACCAGAGCGGTGGAGGAGGATAGATGGACCCTACTCAGAAAGAATTTTTACCTGAGAAGGGTTTTTACCTGAAATAAGACCTAGCGTAAGCGTTTGTGATTTGTAACCCATTTTCTTAAGCGTAGCTGCTGTTTTTGGTTTGATTTTGCTTAGTAACGTGCTTTGTTCTGTCTGCTATGATTTACAACTGCAGAAATCCTGCTTTGGATACTTAATAAAATGACTTTGCTTCGTTGATCTCTCTCGAGGTCCCTTCCAGTGCTAGTAGTCTATAATTAATAAACCCAGGGTAATTAATTGTTACTGGGGGGGAGGGGTAGCAGATGCACATCTCCCTCATTCAGTTATAAAAGGAGGCAGACATTTTATGAGTTTGCTCTGTCTAAAACTTTATGCCGAGGAAGACGGATTTTTTTTCTGGAGTTCTGTACCTGGGTATTGTGGCCTGCCCCTTTAAAGAAATCTTAAAAGGGCTGATCCGGTCATCGTATCTGTATGAGTTTGCATAGCGCTGTCCTGGCATTCACAGCGTCCTGTGGCGAGGAGTTCCACAGGTTGACGGTGTGCTGCATGGAAAAAAAAACTTCCTTTAGTTTGGTTTAAACCTGCTGCCTTTTAAGAAGCTTTCCCTGACCTGGTCTTAGTATTGGTATGACCTTGCAAAGCATTGTGACAACAACACTGGAACGTAGTTATGGCCAGACTGGGTCAAACCAAAGGTCCCTCTAGCCCAGTATCCTGTCTGCTGACAGTGGCCAATGCCAGGTGTCCCAGAGGGCGGGAACACAACAGGGAATCCTGACATGACCCGTCACCCATTTCCAGACAAACAGAGGCCAGGGACACCATGCCTACCCATCCTGGAGAATAGCCATTGATGGACCTACCTTCCATGAATCTATCAGGCTCTTTTTGGAATCCTGTTCAAGTCCTGGCATTTGCAACATCCTGCAGCGAGGAGTTCCACAGGTTCACAGTGTGCTGAGTGGGGGGAAAAAAACCTTCCTTTAGTTTTTTTTAAAACCTGCTGCCTTTTAAGAAGCTTTCCCTGACCTGGTCTTACTATTGATATGACTTTGCATAGCACTGTGACAATAATGCTGGAACATAAGTATGGCCAGATTGGGTCAGATCAAAGGTCCATCTAGCTCAGGGTCCTTCGGCCGACAGGGGCCCATACTAGATACCCCAGAGGGAGGAGCACAACAGGGAACCTTCACGTGATCCTTCCCCTGTCACCGATTTCCTGACAAACAGAGGCTGGGGACACCGTTCCTCCCCATCCTGGCGACCAGCCATTGATGGACCTCAGCTCCATGAATCCATCAAGCTCTTTTTGGAACCCTGTTCAAGTCCTGGCGTTCGCCACCTCCTATGGCGAGGAGTTCCACAGGTGGACGGCATGCTGGGTGACGAAAAACATCCGTGGGTTGGACGCTTCATTTCATTGGGTGGCCCAATGAAAGAGCCTAGAGGGTCTTGCTCAGCAGGACAGAGGGTTGGGGTGGCCGTGTTGGGATTTCTCTGGGCCCATGTGTGTCAACGGCAGAAATGTGGAACCGAAATGTCAGCCGCTCCTTGGGGACCCTGCTGTGCTTCTGTCTGCAGAGCCTCACGTTCAGGGAACCGCAGCCCCGTCAGGTGCGGAAAACAGAAACGGCTCCTTCCCCACCCTTGAGTGAGCCCACAGGCGAGGCCTGCCAGGCAGTTGTGTTCACAGAGCTGTGACGGACGGCGGTTCCTGTTCAACGGAGGCCAGGCCCCTGTGACAGCCCCTCCCCCAGAGGGCTGGTCCCAGAGGGCTGGTCTCTCCTGCCCACAAGCTCCTGTTCATCAGCTCAGAGCCCCTAGGAATCTGCACCAGTACAAAACTCCCTGCAGCTTGAAGGGTCAGCCCCTGCCAGCCCAGCAGCTGAGAAATTCAGGCCACCGGCTCGCTTGGCTGAGGGCATATTAACCCAGCCGTGGCCAACTGGAAGCTCGGAAGCTGTATGCAGCTCTCTTCCCACTCAGGGCGTGGTTTGCGAAGCCCCCACCCCCGCGGCTCGTAAGCTGCCCCCGAGTTCCCAAAAATGGCCCTCTCCGTTAAAATTAAAGAGGGCATCGGCGCGGCCATGAGACACTACAATTAAAGATGCTGTCAGTGCAGCCATGAAAGACAAATTAAAGATGGCGTCGGTGTGGCCATAAAAGACGAGAATTAAAGATGGTGTCAGCGTGGCCGTGAAAGACAAATTAAAGATGGCGTCGGCGTGGACATGAAAGACGAGAATTATAGATGGCGATGGTGAAGCTATGAAAGACTAGAATTAAAGATGGTGTCGGCACGGCCATGAAAGACGAGACTTAAAGATGGCGATGGGGTGGCCATGAAAGACTAGAATTAAAGATGGTGTCGGCACGGCCATGAAAGACAAATTAAAGATGGCGTCGGCGTGGACATGAAAGACGAGAATTATAGATGGCGATGGCGCGGCCATGAAAGACTAGAATTAAAGATGGTGTCGGCACGGCCATGAAAGACAAATTAAAGATGGTGTCGGTGTGGACATGAAAGACGAGAATTAAAGATGGCGATGGCGCA